AAAATGGCAACAAATCATACAACAAAGCGGTGAATATTTGGCCCAAATATGGCATTTCGAAGCATATTAAATAAATGTGTAATGAAGGTCACAAATGGAGTATAGGATAGATGTATCAAAAGGTTCTTGGAAAAATGTACTAAATTTGTAACAATTTTTTACTACGTTAACTAATAGAGGTACAAATTTGGAAATTCGGAATACGAATCAAGGTTGATAAGTAGGGTAGCTATAAGAGGATGGCTTGTGTGTACTTGTGTACTTATGTATACGAAAAGTTCTAAACGGTACAAAATTTGGTACAGATTAAATTTGGAAATAAGATAACTACTGCATTATAAAATTGAGGCATATAGGTAGTTTTGGAAATTCGTACTTATGAGTTCTAAATGGTACTAAATTCGATACAGTTTGAATTGCGTTTGAACCAGTAGATCTGGAATCCTGAAATTGCCGGGGTGTAGGATTGGGATATATATATATATATATATATATATTTGGAAATTCGCACTAATGTGTACTAAATCTGGATTTGAGAGAAGCAATAAAGCTGTGATAAGAAATTGGGAAATACAATTTCTATTGATTGTTTTGGGCATTTGTACGTATTTGTACTAAGTTAGGTACAATTTGAACCGATGGAACTGGAATCCTGAAATTTCGAGTTAGGATCACTGTTGGAATGTAGGAAGTTTTGGAGATCTCTACAAAATGTGGCACAATTTGGATTCGGGTGAACTAATAGGGCTGGAATCCCGAAATTGAGAAATTAGATTTCTATTGGATTGTCAGTTAAAGTTATACTGCGTATTAATTTTGCAGGAATGCCGAACAAAGACATAAAAACCGTAAAGACTCGACAAAATGCATTTTGATAAAATAGTTAATAAAAAAATATCCAGGGGCATGTGTTTATAAAATGTAAATAAAATCAGAGATCTGCACTCCAAATTTATTTTTTTATTTAATAAGCCTAAGATATAGCATTAAAAACGTTTAATATTGTTCTCTCTGTTGTTATGATATCGTAACAACAGAGGAAAAGCCATCTGTTGGAAATTGTTTACGTATCAATTGTCGTATCTTTATACTTTTATGTCTTTGTGCCGAACGCTGTCGAAGGGCTGTCGAATGCGGCTTTATAGTCTTTGAATAGGTGGAATGTGTCGATATTTCCAGGATTTGGGTCTTTTCCAGTATCTGGCGCGGGTAGAAAATCTGGTCAATGGTGGATTTGTCTGGCCTGAAGCCGCATTGGTATGGTCCAATAATGTCATTGATCATTGGCTTCAGTCGTTCACACAGCACGCAAGATAGCACATTATATGCGATGGGAAGGAGACTTATTTCTCTATAGTTGGCACGTACACGGGACACAGGATGCTGTCGTTCCAATCATTGGGACAGCTGCTGCATGCTCCTGACCAGCATCTGACCATCGGTTTTGAATAGTTCGGCTGGTAATCAATCTGCACCTTCTGCGTTATTGTTCTTCAGCCGATGAATTGCTACTCGGACCTGATCTTGGCTATATGGTATAAACACTGTACTGGCATTTCTTATTGGTTCTGGGGCATCTTCACCGCCACTAATTGATACCAGAAGCTTTTCAAAATGTTCCTTCCACATCCTCAACGCGTTGCCTGTCTCTAGAGGAGGAAGTGCCTGCACCTAAGACTTTGGTTTGGTGTTTTACTCGGTGATAAAATTTCCGGGCTTCATTCTGACTCCTGCACATCTCGAGTTGCTCACGCTCACTTTTTTTTTTTTTTGTTCATTCTTCTTCTTTCTGAAAATACGTTTCTCATCGCTCTTTCTCTCCTGATAATTCTCCATCGCATTACGTGTTGCTACTGTAATGCGATGGAGTAGCAGTAGCATTACGATACTCCTGATAATACCATGGGTTTCTTGATGGTGGTTTTTGGTGTCCATGTGTTGCTTCTGCTGCAGTTTGGGAGTGGACAATTCTTTGCCAATGTGCTTCTTTATTATTATCGGGACAAGGAGTGCTTTCGAGCAGTTGGGTAAGTTGGGAGTGGGCTTCTGCTGCCTGTTGTGTTTGCAGCTTTTCGACGTCGAGTTTCCGTGTTACAATAGATCGCACATTTGTTGCTACATTAAGACGGGTGTCAACCTTGGTTGCCTCAAGGTAATGGCCCGAATCGATATTCGCTCCTCATATCGATCGAACATATAAAACATTGAATGAATGCCTTCCGTCTATCACAACTTTATCAATTTGATTTATCGTTGCTTGATCAGGAGAAATCCATGTGGCCTTGTGTATATCGAGTTGTTTGAATCTAATGCTGCTAACTACCATGTTTTTTGCTGCCGGGAAGTCAATCAATTTCATGTCTGAGTTTTCTTCATGGAGGCTAACTTTCTGAATAATAGCAGAATTTTAATGTCATGGCCAGGGCAACAACAATATGATGTTTCTAGGCGTTCCAAAAATATGTCTTTGGTCTGCTCATCTTTTTCTTCCGTCGGAGCATGACACTGATGTAGAAGTACTTCACTTTTATACGGATTATAGCAATTCGCTCATCTGGAGACGAGGTCTTTTACTCTCCTGTTAACCATAAATCCGCAACCAGGGCATACAGGGCGTAATCATCTGATTTACTTATGCCAGTCGCTTTCCATCGCATTTTCTTGTAAGGCAATAACTTCTTGAGTACATCCGCCAAAGCGAAAACTGCGCCTGTTCTGTACAATGTGCGCACATTCCAAGTGCAGATTCGCAGATCGTGGCCCTTTATACGATTGCGGGATCGTCATCATGGAGGGGTTGTTTTTTTTCGTTGCTTTCTTATAATAGGAGAGTGTGGGCAACTAACCCAACGCCTCAAAACATTTTGTTATAGTTCTTATGGGTGGGTGAGTGTTCATGTATAATAGGTCAAATTAGATTACCGTGCACATAGGACACTTCCTTATACAAATTTCAAGACACATTTGGATAAAAAGTAATATATCATAGAACCACATTTCTTTCTTTTCTTGAATTCAATTCAAATCGTGGCTAACTAACATATTCCCAGGATTTCGAGTCACAAATCTTAATTTTTCTTTTTTTGTAGTTAAATTATAAATTATTTATAAATTCTTTTGTATATATCCTAAGCCCGTGGTTGTAAAACTTTATTCTTAATATCATTCATTCCGACTCCGATATATCTGATATAAAACCAATAGATGCCGAAAACATCACAAACAAATATACACATTTGTACAAATAAAGCCAAAATTTCTAGTATCATTTTTAGCGTATTATGTTTAGCATAGCCTTGCTAATCCTGTAAATGCCTCTAATCGGCATTCAGAACACTTCAAAAACAACGATTGTGTGTGTGTCATACAAACACATTGTTTGTATGACATTGTTCTCTCGACCATAAGATGATGAAAAGAAAGCAGCGTAAGCACATCATCATATTAGTAAATAAATAAAATAACAGCAACAACAATAATCAGAGCACATTGTCATTTTTATGTTAGCCATCAAGGAGACTACCGTACGCACCTATCTTCATATGTATGTTACCTACCATTGTCCTCTGGAGAGCAGATTTATTGGCAAATAAACAAAACAAAATTCCAGGCTCAGTGTTCAAATACGCAAAACAAAAAAATATCTACTCGAAAATAGACAAAAGCCGCATTGTTCGAACGCGAATAATAAACAATAGATGATGTGAGAGGGCACATGCGTAAGGATCGGCATGCAGCCGCATGACTGATTAACCGAAAATCCGAAAACTATGAATGACGATTTTGAAGTGCGTAGATTTTGCATATTTAGGCGCTTTGCGTACAAAAACATATTTGCAAAATATCGAACAAATATTTATGACAAATGATGTGTAAATATTTTGCCCACAGTGTGGAGTGGAGAAAACAAAATAACAGAAAAAGGTGCAATATATTTTATTGTTTGTTGTTCGAAATATTGCTACGGATTATTGGTAATAGTTGTAAATAATTGCCAAGATGTTTTACTTCAGTTTTTTGTGCTAATTAAGATGTTGAATTTTTCCAGGATGTTTTCATTACAATTTACTATGCAAAATACGGGAGCTCTTGACGTCGCGAATTTCAATATTTCTAATCAGGGACGTACGCAGTGGGGCGGCCCGGGGGGCCCGGGCCCCCCCCGAAATGAAATTTTTTCACAGTAAATTTATGTCTGCAACATCGAATTTTTTCATTTTGTACTACCGGGCCCCCCCCGAAATGAAATCCTGTGTACGTTGCTGTTTCTAATTGTTTTATATTGACAATCTTAGATGTATTTAAGCTTAGTCAATTCTATTAAATTTGCCATTTCATATGAAACACCTCGAAATATGTGTCAGAGACCCCACAAAATATATATTAAAAATATATTTATGTCGACTTAGGCATGTCTGTTGAAATCAGGGTGCGGAGAATGATTAAAATACACTCTTTCTCAGGAATGCTCACGGCGAGAATTGGAATGTTTTTAATTTATCGCGAATGATAAAGTTACAATGAATGAACAAGCATTTGCATTCTCTATCGTTCGCATTGTACGAATAATTCACGAACGATAAAATTTCGCTGCAAGCGTCGTCGATTCGTTCTTTCGCGAGTATTTGTTGCTGAAGAACATTCTTTTGAAAAACTCAAAAGAAAACATTCGCGAATGCTCGCGAGCTCTTTTAAAAACAACAACAGACAAAAATATCATAAAAAAGTAAACACACACACAACGAATAAATGTGTGTGCAGCAGAAAGTGTGTGGAATAACAGAACACATGTCCAACAACTATTGAGTTCGCGAACGTTTGTTGTTGTTGTTGTTGTAGCAGTTTATATGTATTGAATGTTTCCTGTTATGTTTCCTCCAGTTCTGTCTCCAGATTTAGGAATGCAGCTACCTCCACTGGCTGTAGCCACAAATCTTCCGGAGTAAGGTGAGTAGGTTTGGCTGGGCAATTGAACAAGTGCAGTGTGGTATGAGGGCCTGTACCACATGCTGGGCAGACATCTAGCACCTGGTCATCAATCCGTGCCCAATACGAATTGAGCCGACTGCACCATCCAGAACGTAATCTGGGCAGCTGAAGTTCTTCAGCTGCTATGGGTGGGGGGTGAGCTCCGAGGGAGGCATTCACTTTGTAACCGTTCAGCGCTGCGGCTACTGCATCTGTATGAATGCCATTCAGACCCGCTCGATAGGCAACTTGATCTAGAGGCTCCCTTTTGTATCGTTGGACCTCTCTCTCTAGATCATGCAGATCCTTCCTGACACGCCTGGGGGGGGAATCCTATCCACCATGTAATGGTTGGGATGATCGTCCCTGAAACACCCAAGCAGGTACTGCAACGAAAGCATATTGCTATGCTGACGTACGGGAAGGATCTTCGACTCCTCATGAAGATGGTCCACTGGTGTCATGAGGAGGCACCCTGTCGCTGTCCTCAGGGCGGAATTCTGACAGGTCTGAATATTTCTCCATTGCGTATCACTGGAATTCGCAGACCACACTGGAACCGCATAGCTAGCCACAGACCGACCTATCGCTTTGTAAGAGGTCAACAAGGTTTCCTTATCTGCGCCCCAAGTGCTGCCGGCAAGCGACTTGAGGACCTTGTTCCTACTTTTCAGCTTATCGCAGATAGCTGTGGTATGCGCGGACGATTTGAACATGCTGTCAAATGTGACCCCGAGTATTTTGGGGTAGTTGGTGGTCGGAATTGTATGCCCCTCGACCTGCACATTCAACGGCATTCTCATCTCCGCAGTCCATGTGGTGAAAAGTGTGGCTGACGACTTCGAGGCGGATATTTTCATATTCCTCGCTTTGAAGAATGCTGCTAAATCGATGAGATATGCGTTCAACCTCACACATATGTCTTCAACAATGGGACCCGACGCCATAATCGTACAATCATCTGCATACGTAACGATTTCTATGCCGTCCGGAGGGCGTGGAATACCGGAAAGGTAGAGATTAAACAGTTCCGGAGAAATCACTCCACCTTGGGGAACTCCCTGTTTAACTCTACGGGGTTTGGACTTCTTGTTCCGGAACTCCACGTACAGCGTGGCATGGCTGACAGTATCAAAGGCTTTTGATAGGTCAAGCGCTACCAACACTGTTCTATCGCACGGCCGGTTCTGGTTAAGTCCTCTACTTATATGCGTGGAAATGGCGTGCAACGCTGTTGTTGTACTATGTTGCTTACGGAATCCATGTTGATGATCCGCAACTGGATAGCTTTCTCTAATGCTGGGGAGGAGTAAAGCCTCAAGGGTCTTCGCTACTGGCGACAAAAGTGAAATCGGCCTGTACGATTCACCTTTGCTGGCATCCTTGCCCGGCTTCAGTAGCGGGACCACCCTGCCCATAGTCCAGGCTTCGGGGACGACGTGGGTGGCTATCGACAAGTTGAGGACGTTGGTCAAGTACTCGACTCCTGGCTCGACCAACGTCCTCAACTTGTCGATAGCCACCCACGTCGTCCCCGAAGCCTGGACTATGGGCAGGGTGGTCCCGCTACTGAAGCCGGGCAAGGATGCCAGCAAAGGTGAATCGTACAGGCCGATTTCACTTTTGTCGCCAGTAGCGAAGACCCTTGAGGCTTTACTCCTCCCCAGCATTAGAGAAAGCTATCCAGTTGCGGATCATCAACATGGATTCCGTAAGCAACATAGTACAACAACAACGTTTGTTGTTATTGTTGTTGCTATTTTGAGCATTCGCGAGAATTCGGGAATGTTTGTTTTGAAACGAAACGAACTATCGTTGTGGTGTGCTCTCTCTCTCGTTAGTTATGTGTGTGCGAATATTCTTTGGCGAATGCTCGTTTGGTAAAGAATTTATCGCCATAAATTCATTCGTAAAATGACCTCAAAACGAAAAGAATGTATTTTAATTTATTCGCGAGCGAATTTTTGCGCACCCTGGTTGAAATCAAAATAGAGTTCGCAATATTTAAGAAAGAGCTTTTGAAATTTTAATCATACGTTTCTACTACTCCTAGGATGTTTGGTATTACGAGGGCAGTACGGAACCTTATTAGCCTAACACAAAACACCACACTGTGGTACATGGTATTATGTCTTTGTGCATATGTTTGTATGGTGCACCAAACTCCTAACGTTTGTCCGATTAACACGAACTTGCATGACGTATTAGATTGAGACTAGAATTGCTTTATTGCGTTTTTTTCAAATTGGTGCAGATGCAGACAAAGCTGTCATATATATTTTCTACCGATTTCATGTTAATTGTACACCATATAATCAACGGGTGTCTGATTGAGATTAAATTTCGAACAGTGCAGCGTACCACATAGTGTGTGTCGAGTTTACTTTTTATAAGTCGATTAACAAAATTTTGCATAGATTGCAGAATGGCGTGTGTGGGGTTTGATGTTAGTCGATTCGCATATTGATAAAGATCACATATTTAATTTTGTTAAATTTTATGTCAACTTTCCTTCGAAAAGGAGACGCCTATTATGATACATATGAGAAATATACCCAAAGTGGTGAAGGGTATCATATAATCGGCCCCTTCCGACTTTACTACTTTCCATACTGGTTTTTATATGACTTATTTAACAAGCTTCGGAATTTCCAAATTTGCACCGTTTTGTTGTATGATTTGTTGCCATTTTGAAGGTAACTTCATAATGCCTCTCTCATAGAAGTCCTGCTATATATTTGCAAAAAACTCTAGTAGTCGATTTTCATAATCCTCCCTAAATAAAAATTGTTTATCATTAAAGAAATTTCGCAATACAAGGAAAATATGATAATCTGATAAAGTCCGGACTGTATGGCGGATACAGTAAAACTTCCCAACCAAGCTCCCGAAGTTTGTGGCAAGTCACTGTAGATGTGTGTGGCTTAGTGTTGTCCAGGTGGAACACGACACCTCTGCTGTTGGCGAATTCTGACCGTTTTCGTTCAATTGATATCTTCAAACGGTACAGTTGTTGACATTAGAGATCTGAATGTAGCGTTTGGCCATATAATTCATAATAAATAATCCCCTTCCAGTCCCACCAAATGCATAGCAGAATCTTCCTGACCGTTAATCCTGGTTTGGCCGCCGTTTGAGATGCTTCACCGCTCTTTGACCATGATCGTTTTCGCACAGGGTTATCGTATGTGATCCATTTCTCATCTCCAGTCACCATCCGTTTAAGAAATGGGTTCTATCTCATTCCGTTCAGCCAAGGCTTCGCAGATGGAAATTCGATCCATCCTATTTTTTTTTTTTTTTTTTGTTAATTGGTCTAAAACCAATATTTCGATTAAGAACATTTTTACCGTAGCAAAGAGTATATCCCCTCATTAACCTGTGGGTATAAAAAAATGTGACTTTATGAACATTTTCGATTGAATATTGAAATAACATATGCATTTTTCCAATATTTCGTATCTGTTGGTTAATTTTCAAAATTATTAAATATAGATCTACAATTTGATATATTCCTATAATACAGTTCCACACCATTATACACATTTTCAAGATCCCAGACGTGTCTCATTAAACTCTCTGTCTCTTTTAAGCTCAGCTTACTAAACGAGGTTTTTAACTACTGTTTTTTCGTTCCTTATTCGGATGGACTTATTTTGTCTTCTTCAAAATTTTAGTCGATTGCTTGCTGATTATAAATATTAAAAAAATCTCCTCACTTATTTATTTGCCGTATCTCATAGTACCTTAACACCCTTCCACAATTTTGTAAATATTTCCATTAAAACCCAAGCCACAAAGACCTCATTACATGTAAACACCTAAAATTACTACTTAATTTATGAAGATATTCAATGTTTGTTTTCCTCTCCCGGTATATGGAAAAAAACACGATACCACCTCCCCAAAAATACACAAAAAAAACCAATACTTTTCGGCATCATTAAGCGCTGTTGCGTTAATAGGCAAATGTTAATTTTGTTTCCATACATTACAAAATGAAAGGCTATACCGAAGTTTGAAGTCAAAAGCGAATGTTAGCCACCAAAAACACCACCACGACAGACACAAAAAAAGAAGAATTAAGGTTATGATAGCATGAAAAATGGCGTATAATCGCAAACATGGGAATTGTCTAATTGCCTTTTAACTAAAAAGCTTTATCTACTTCAGTCGAAATGTTAAATTAGGTTTGTGCTCAAGTGGGGTTGGGGCGTGGTGCTGTTAGAGGGCAAGAAACTCTTTTAGCAAAAACCACTTGGCCTGAATATTCATTTAAATTATAAATGAGGTTAATATCCTTCTGGTAACATTTAATTCTAAGTAACTTAACATAATGTAACTCAAATGGAAAGAAAGCATTTGTTGGTATTTCTTTATAGGGAAAAATAAAATCGGTCACCAAGAAGTTGAATAATACAATTTCGGAATATCCATTTCGGCATATCCATTTCGGCATATCCTTATTCTAGATATTCGCTAGGGAGAGATCTCGCTTGTGAATTTTTTTCGCTTTCAGATTCTCGCCTTACTCTTAATGAATAGGGAGAAGCAAAAAATGCAAGATGCGGATTCGAATTTTCAAAAATTGTTTTTGAAAAAAAGATTCGTGTTTCCATACTGTAATTTAATATGTAATGTGTGCTGCCCCCCATTGTAATTTAATTTTGTAATATTTTTCAATATTTATACCCTACACAACTATGTTGTCAGGATATTATAGCTTTGTGCAGCACCAAGAGTTTGTAACGCAGCAAAATATTGGTCCTAGGCACACCTTTAAGTATACAGGTCATATCTCGACTACCTGAGTCGATCTAGAAATGTGTGTCCGTCCGTCAGTCCATTATAATTTGTAAGCACGATACAGGCCATAATTATGGACCAATCTTCACGAAATATTGCATGTAGGATGATGGGTTCTGCCCAAGGATGACCCATATTGTTTTTGGTGAAGATCGGTTAATATTTGGGGAATAAAATGGACCAAATATTTCAATTTTGTCGGTATTTCTGGTCGCTCCAGAGTCCGCAATTATGG